TATACATAGGCCAGTAACCTTTTTGTAGTCATTTGACTAAAAAAAACTTGCGGAAAGGAACTCCGTAGGACAAGCCACTACTGTGGCAGGAGTAAGGCGGAAGACATCAGTAGTGGAACCATTTCTAAGTTAATCCCGAAGTGCGTTGCTATTGTAAGAATATATAAAATCGGGTTTCCGTTCCGCTTTTTTTTTGCTGTAGTTTGAGTAATGAGTTAGAGCGTATATTTTGTAGTCAAAAAATCATTGCAAATAGAAGACCTCATCCCCACCACCACCAACCTGTAATACACTTGCTAGCTTGTGTATTTCCATATTCCATTTCCGAGAGATAGATAGAGAACACGCGAAATATAAAGTGATTTTTCTTACAATCAGGGACCATAATTCATGAAGTTACGATTCGATATGCGCAAATATCGAAAGGAACCATATCTTTGGGTTATAAACATGCATGTCAAGTTTCATCAAAATCTTTCACTGTGAAAAACCGGGGCTAAGTCATCTGAAATCAAACAAATTTTACAATGTAGGTAGTGAAAACAAAATGTTATGTTAAGCGTTGTTCGAGGGTGGGGTGGGTGCATAAAATTCCAAATGCAAAGGGTTATTTTTCGTGCACGCCAATATGCACACAGGATTTCGATTTTTCGTCCTACCTAAAAAACTGCACGCAAAGTTAGTTGTCGGGCCTTCGGTCAAGAACCACAGACAAAGGGAGAGAACGGGGACCTCTGTTTTGCATACCATCCAAGCGACTAGGCACTAATCCTTGTACCATGGACGATGGGACGGGCGTTTTTCGTCCCATCGAAACGACTAGACACAGATCCTTGCTAGGCCTTCCATACTTCACCACTGCCAACGGGGAACCACTTTGACCTCGGGTTTTCGTACCATCCAAACGACTAGACACTAATCCTTGCAAGGCCTTCCGTTCTGCAGCAAATGAGCCACGCTGGCCTCGTTTTGTCGTAACATACAAACGACTAGACAATGTTTCATAATTTAGTCATGTTCGCGTGGGTGGGTTGGCAGCAGAATTGATATGTACATGATAGTGACACGAGGAGGGGGGGGGGGGGCGGGGTGTACACAAATCACACAAATCAGAGCTTTGTAATACACGCATATACTTGATATACTAAATACACAAATGGCTGAATTTCGAGACATTTCTGGCACTCTTTTATCACATAATGAGAACACTGCATTAATTTCTATATATCAATAAAATATGCCTCAGACCCATTGTTTATTTTTAAATTTGAATTAGACTCGTAACAAAATATATTTTCTGGCAACAAATAGCATATAAATAAAACTAGATTTACTTTCTGATTATTTTTTTTAAATGAAATCATTCCAGGGCTTTTATTGACATTTCAGAAAATGTAGAGTTGGTCCCATGCACTTGAGGCCAAGGTCCTTGAAGTTGTACAGCTGCACCCGGTGACCGATATTTATTTAACGGGGAATAAGTGATAATTCATATTATAACAGTAAATAATTAAAATATCCCATAGGGATTATAATAATATGTATATCATGTAGGTGTGCATGTAGGTTAAAATTGTGACCTCTGTAAATAGGCCCGTTCCTTGCATTTAGTTTTAGAGTTAGGAGTGCTAAAATTGAGAGAGCGAAATGGGGTTGATCGACCACTCGACACAAACTAGGTCATTTCGGGACTAACGTATGGTTCAATTTTATTTCAATAATTCGCTTGCGCGTAGGGGTCTAGCAGTGGGGGGAAACCGGGTGATCCTGAAAAAATACACAGGTTGGACGGGCGACCTACTCCTTGTCACGTACGGAAAGATACCCCAGCAGTCAAAATAGGTCAAAATAGGCGATTTCGGTTTCTAGTGTCGATGCATCGTTACGGTCAGTTTAAAAAATTGTCTTTTAAGGATAATGTGTATAGTACCAATACCTATCACATACGGAAGAGGCGATAAAATCTCTTTGCATTTCCAATTTCAAAATTAATTAAAACCAATATTAAATTCCGAAAACCGTTTTTTTGCTAAAACTCTTTTCTTTTTAATGTGATCAAAATGGGGGTAAAGCACAGAGTCAGGGGTGGTAATGGGCGTATTGTGTCCTAATTTCATGGTTTTCGGACAATCGGTGCCGGTGTCACGGCGAAATTCCACTTTTTTCCCCTCATGGAAGCCGTAAATTGACGCAAGGAGTAGGGTCGCCTGTCCAACCTTGTGGGTTTTCTCCGGGTCCTCCGGTTTCCTCCCACTGCTAAAGACCCCTACGCGCAAGCGAATTATTGAAATAAAATTAAACCATATGTTGGTCCCGAAATGACCTAGTTTGTGTCGAGTGGACGTTAAACCCCATTTCTCTCTCTCTCTCTCTCTCCGTAAATTGACTTGAGGCCAGTGTCCTTTAAGTTGTACAGCGGCACCAGGTGACCGATATTTATTTAACGGGGAATAAGTGATAATTCATATTATAGCAGTAAATAATTAAAATATTTCATAGGGATTATAATAATATATCATGTCTGGGTATTACAGGGTTAAAACAATATTAAATTCCGAAAATCGTTTTTTTGCTAAAACTCTTTTTTTTTAATGGGATCAAATGGGGGTAAAGCACAGAGTCCGGGGTGGTAATGGGCGTATTGTGTCCAAATTTCATGGTTTTCGGACAATCGGTGCCGGTGTCACGGCGAAATTCCACTTTTTTCCCCTCATGGAAGCCGTAAATTGACTTAGAAAAAAAAACGACGAAAGGCAGGTGACAAGAACAAACGACTTGAACGAATGCAGGTATCACCTTGAAATTTTCAGGGTGCCTAGGTACCAACGTGAAAAGTTGTTCGCCGGAATTTAGTACTCATGGTACCGTTGGTTCCTGTGTAGCGCATGCGCGAAATCAAAACCAGCTAAACTCGAAAACAACCTTGTCGGCACGGAAAACATCAAAGGAGAAATTCGAATTTTTGAAATATTCAAATACCAAACATTCGACCATGATCCAGGCTATCCTCAAATGTATTAATTTCGGTAATAGGAGACAGATTCTCTAAGCCACGACCAATTGTGTATGTTTTCAAGCCCATAAATGTGGATTTTTCACTAATTTTCATTTTCATTTCAAAATGGCGTCCATCAGTTGACCTAAATCAAAATTCTAAACCGATAGATTTTTAGGCTTTCCTTCAAGCATTCAGAAAATGTAACTCTTATGTCTTTAAGTAAAATATTGCAAAAGCCGTATGGACTTTTCACATTTTGAGATGGTGGCACTTCCGGTTTGCTCGACAAACTCCATATTTTGTGTACTCATCAGTACTGTCTTAGCTAGTACAGAAAAAAAATTTCAAGGCAATCTGACCTATATTTCGTCGATTTTTTTGAAAACTTTGATCCTTAATTTCACCAAGGGGAGATAATTTAGAAAATTTCCAAGGACATCATTGAAGTCGCATTGGCAAGGTCTACTAACATTCTAAATTTCACGAAAATCGCACAACTATTAAAGAAGTTGTCAAATTGGTAATAACTTCCGGTTCGAAATGACAGCGACGAATTTTCGAAATGCCAAAATCCGAAATTGCAGATTTGAAGTAAATGTTTCAAGATACTCAAAGAAAAAAAAATTAGTAAAATAGGTCAAATAGTTACAGAGTTACAGCATTGTAGGTCAAATGCATTCCTTCGTAAAATTCGGTGATTTCGGATTCGTAAAACGTTTTGAAAATATATTTAATCAACAGCCACCACCCATTTTTGGGGGGATAGGTAAAAGTTTCAGAACGATCCTATGGTTAGATTCTGAGAAATCCGATTTGTGGACAAAACACAAAAAAAAAATAACAATAATAATCTTAACAGAAACAATAAGCTTTCATATGTAATATGAAAGCTTAACTAGATCTGCTAAGCAGATATTAAAGCTTTCATATTCACAGTCACAAGTGGCATAACTTGACCCGCAACCCATCAGCTATCCTGAAAAATGCTGGAAAAATTAAACAAGTAAATTGTGTTTAGTACTGGGTTAATTAAGACAGGCATATGCCTTTGCTATACAGGATGACATGAGGGAAATTTAGCTTGGGAGGTGTAGGCCTGCAGCCAAAATTTCTAGCTAGCTTAGAAACACAACTCCGCTACACGGTCTTCCATAAAAGAAAAACTATACATTTTTGGAAAGCTTATGATGCCAGGAAGACAAAATCTGGGAGTTCCAAGCAAAATGTTTGCAATTTATTGATTGAGGGCCAGATGAAATTCGTCAAAATTGTCAAATAAATGCTATTTGTGTACTAACAATTCTGAAGTTGACATAAAATTAAATAGTTGGTAAAACACCTCATGCCTTCATCCTTGGCAATGAACAGTTTATTGGACAGATTTTGATGTAAATAAAAATGCTCAAAACACAAATGTCATGGGTGAATAAAGAATTGTGGAAATCCATTAACGGCAAAAAAGAATTATCTCCCTTTCTGTCAAATGCCTGTAATTGATAGACTATCAGGTCTTGTATGAATCATAAGACCAGGTGTGGGCAAACAAGCCCAATAATTATTTTGTTTGTTGGATCTCAAGGGCCTGTTAGGGTTGGTTGTTGGATGTTTGCTCAGAAATTATCGCTTGTATGGAACATGCTAGAGTCGATTTGTAGCATATTCTAGCCAGGGGATATGTTTGACAGTAGTTGAGTGATATGCTTTTGAAATAATGGAGATCAGTAGCACTTTATAAGCATTGAACCACATGATTTTTTTCCACTAAGATAAACATTCTAAACCCACATACATGTTCCCTTTCAATTAGCCACTACAGTATTTTTACAACTGTACATGTAGCTGTGAACTACTATTTCGGATATGATTAATGGTCAAATTACAAACATACATGTAGATATAAGTTAAAAAAAATAATTGTGTATCTGGGCTGGAATGAAGGGAAAGGTTAGAAAACAGGATGAACAGTTGTGAAATTATTTATTAAAGTGAAACAATCATTGAAAATCAAAATTAAACAGTTACTCTGCACATCAAATGTCATCAAAGTTAATCTTCATTATCATCATCACTGTCACTAAATGTATTAACATCAAATTCGGTCTCTTTAACAGTTTTTTTTTCATTTTCACATTGACTACACATGCACAGGTCTGTACAAGAAAGGGGGGTTGGGATGGCCTAGAGTGCCGCGCTTCGACCTCTAGCTGGTCGGTCACCTCTGGCTTGTGGCTGTGGCTTTGATCCCAGGTGTGAGCGTATGTGGCATGGAGATAGAGGCGTCTTCTCAACCTCGTGGGTTTCCTCCGGGCACTCCGGTTTCCTCTCACTGCTAAAGACCCATACGCGCAAGCGAATTATTGAAATAAAATTGAAACCGTATGTTAGTCCCAAAATGACCTAGTTTGTGTTGAGTGGACGTTAAACCCCATTTCTCTCTCTCTGTACAAGACAACTTTGCTGGCCATTTATGATTCTTTCTCTTATGACATCTTCACAGAATATATTGTATGTGGTTTAATATTCGACGGAGGGCTAGTCATCTTTGCTGAAAAATATAAATAAACATATACATGTACACAATTAAAACAAAATTCTGGAGCTTGGTTTACTCTCATTAATTTCGTACAACAGAGGAAAAAGACACTTACACAGGGGTTAACATCTTATTTTCATGCAGAAACCAGCTAATGAAGACAGGAAGGCATTAGCAGTACAAGGAGAGATAGAGAGGAGAATTGCGGTTTAACGTCCACTGGACAAAAACATAGTAATTTCAGGACTCACCCATGGTTCAGTTTTATTTGAATAATACCAGTGGCAAGAAGGCGGAGAATACAAATAAAAAAACCATCACAAATATTTACCTTTCTGATAACTGTCTAAGAAATTCAGTACATGTATATTGCCTATAACATTTTTGGTGATATCTGACCTCAATGGCCACACAATCTTGCCCTCTGATATGCCTTAAAATATCTTCATCCTCTTTCAATTCAGCAGCTTTCAACAGTTGGCCTACAAACAAATTTGCAAACAAATTATACACCATATAGCGTTGAATGTTGTTTGTGCTCAAGGGTGGGGGAGGGAATGTCACTTTGAGGCCTACATGTACATGTACCTGGCTGGTCAACTCTGGCATGCGGTTTAGTTCAGATCCTTTGTGTGAGCGGAAATGGTCTAGAGACAGATCGTCTTAGCAAGGCACCTACAAGTGGGCCAAGAAAATAAAAAACAAGTTAACTTCTCTATGTTTCATCCCTTGTGCAAGCAAATGTGCAACACTTTAACCAATGACTGTGCCAAATCAACAAATGGGGCTTTACTGGCTAGCTTCATAACAATTTTACAGTGATTGCAGTAGCACTTCTGATTCCATTTACAACAAAAACAACAACACAATAATTAAAAACTGTAGGATGAATATATTTAATATTTATTAGTAATAATTATAAATTTAGTAAGTAACATAATATTAACATTAGGCCTACCTGAGCCTGTTTGGGTCTGAGTCTGTGTTAATACATCCTTCTTCCTATTTTCTCCAACAGTGACAAATCTGTCACGTTTTTTACATATAATACACCAGTGACCGCCCTAGACTCTTAAAACCTTTAGCCAAATTTTTAGCCAATTCAAAATTTTATTAGCCAATTCAGAAAGTTTTAGCCAAATATTTTATATCATTTTTATTCATATGTTTGTTAATTAAAAATGAAAATAAATGTGTGTGTGTGTTTGTTGTATTTTACGTCCGCTTCCACCGAGGTGATATCGCGGACAAAATAAATGTTTAATATGTACTTTTATTTTATGATCAGTAGTGGAATATCGCGTTTTATCAGTGAAATAAAAGTGTTATTCCACTGGCTAGTTGTTTTTACCTAAAATGATTGTAAAATCATAAAATAAATAGAACATTTGTCGTTTTGTCGTGAATAACATATTTTATTTCATCTCTAAGCAAGAAAACGTTTATGTTTTCACTCATGCTACGCATTCGTGAAAATATAAGTTTTCTTGCTTCTCGATGAAATAAAATATGTTATTCACTCTAAAACGACAAATATCCTCTATATATAGTACACAAGAATATTATTTTATCGGCGCTATTGCACTTTCGTACCTCTACCAGTTCCCGTGGTCGTAGGAACTTGAAATTTTCAGAGGATGTTCAGGGGGACTAGCAATGACCACACACCAAATTTCAGCCGAATTGATCAATAACTTTTTATTTTACCGACCTTTTAATTTCTAACGAGAGAGAGCTTCATCCGTTTGACGCCATTTGCTTTGTTTACTATTTAGACTCGAATAACAAGACACTAAGACGGAAACCGACTCGAATAACAAGACACTTAGACGGAAACCGACACAGTGCACCAGCAGCCTAACACTGCAGTTCATAAAAATTAATATAATTTTCGTATACTTTAATTTTTGCGCGAAGCCACCATTTTCAATAAAATACTATTTGGTGTTGATCAGTGGATTGGCCGTTAGGTGTAAATATTGCCGTGACCTTGATTTTGACCTTGAGGCCAAACTTCCCACCCATATCGGGGCCTTTGCGTTTATGCTTGCCGTGGCCTTATTTCTAACTGTATTATCAAAGTTAATGTTCGAGGTTAAAGCAGAGACGACGTCCTCCAGAAAAGATAATTGGGTCAAAGTCGTAGGTCAAGGTCATCTTACAGAAAACTAAACTCAAACTTTTCAGTTTTGGGACATTTGACCTTGACTAATGGAGGTCACCACGACCTTTCACATTGACCACGCCCATTGACTTCCACGGCAAGCATAAACGCAAAGGGCCCGAGATAGATGGGAAGTTTGGACTCAAGGTCGAAGTCAAGGTCATGGATGGTTACAGGTGACTAGTGGTGGTCACCACGACCTTTCACATTGACCACGCCCATTGACTTTCTTTCGGACACGGGCCCCTCTGCGTTTGACCGTTTTCTGACCGAGCTGTGTGCGACAGGACCAAGGTAAACGTCCATGATTCAAGCCAAGGTGATAGCCTTAAAAAATGGTTACGGGGTCAAGGTCGTAAGTCAAGGTCAAATGTCCCAAAACTGACTTTGAAAAGTTTGAGTTTAGTTTTCTGTAAGATGACCTTGACCTACGACTTTGACCCAATTATCTTTTCTGGGGGACGTCGTCTCTGCTTTAACCTCGAACATTAACTTTGATAATACAGTTAGAAATAAGGCCACGGCAAGCATAAACGAAAAGGGCCCGAGATAGATGGGAAGTTTGGACTCAAGGTCGAAGTCAAGGTCACTGATGGTTACAGGTGACTAGTGGAGGTCACCACGACCTTTCACATTGACCACGCCCATTGACTTCCTTTCGGACACGGGCCCTTTGCGTTTGACCCTTTTCTGACCGAACAGTGTGCGACAGGAACAAAGTAAACGTCGATGGTTCAAGGCAAGGTGATAGCCTTCGAAAATGGTTACGGGGTCAAGGTCGTAAGTCAAGGTCAAATGTCCCAAAACTGACTTTGAAAAGTTTGAGTTTAGTTTTCTGTAACATCACCTTGACCTACACCTTTGACCCAATTATATTTTCTGGAGGACGTCGTCTCTGCTTTCACCTCGAACATTAACTTTGATAATACAGTTATAAATAAGGCCACGGCAAGCATAAACGGAAAGATGGATGGGAAGTTTGGACTCAAGGTCAGAGTCAAGGTCACGGATGGTTAACGGTGACTAGTGGAGGTCACCGCGACCTTTCACATTGACCACGCCCATTAACTTCCTTTCGGACACGGGCCCTCTGCGTTTAACCGTTTTCTGACCGCGCAGTGTGCGGCAGGATCAAGGTAAACGTCCATGATTCAAGCCAAGGTTATAGCCTTAAAAAATGGTTACGGGGTCAAGGTCGTAAGTCAAGGTCAAATGTCCCAAAACTGACTTTGAAAAGTTTGAGTTTAATTTTCTGTAACATGACCTTGACCTACGACTTTGACCCAATTATCTTTTCTGGGGGACGTCGTCTCTGCTTTCACCTCGAACATTAACTTTGATAATACAGTTAGAAATAAGGCCACGGTAAGCATAAACGAAAAGGGCCCGAGATAGATGGGAAGTTTGGACTCAAGGTCGAAGTCAAGGTCACGGATGGTTACAGGTGACTAGTGGAGGTCACCACGACCGTTCACATTGACCACGCCCATTGACTTCCTTTCGGACACGGGCCCCTCTGCGTTTGACCGTTTTCTGACCGAGCAGTGTGCGACAGGACCAAGGTAAACGTCCATGATTCAAGCCAAGGTGATAGCCTTCAAAAATGGTTACGGGGTCAAGGTCGTAAGTCAAGGTCAAATGTCCCTAAAACGACTTTGAAAAGTTTGAGTTTAGTTTTCTGTAAGGTGACCTTGACCTACGACTTTGACCCAATTATCTTTTCTGAAGGACGTCGTCTCTGCTTTCACCTCGAACATTAACTTATACAATACAGAAAGAAATAAGGCCACGGCAAGCATAAACGCAAAGGCCCCGATATGGATGGGAAGTTTGGACTCAAGGTCAAAATCAAGGTCACGGCAATATTCACACCTAAAGGCCAATCCACTGATCAACACCAAATAGTATTTTATAGAAAATGGTGGCTTCGCGCAAAAATTAAAGTATACGAAAATTATATTAATTTTTATGAACTGCAGTGTTAGGCAGCTAGTGCAGTGTGTCTGTTTCCGTCTGAGTGTCTTGTTATTCGAGTCTAAATAGTAAACAAAGCAAATGGCGTCAAACGGATGAAGCTCTCTCTCGTTAGAAATTAAAAGGTCGGTAAAATAAAAAGTTATTGATCAATTCGGCTGAAATTTGGTGTGTGGTCATTGCTAGTCCCCCTGAACATCCTCTGAAAATTTCAAGTTCCTACGACCACGGGAACTGGTAGAGGTACGAAAGTGCAATAGCGCCATTTTATCTCCTTGTTCATGCAAAAGTTCACATTATTGAGAGAATGAATGCAGATAACAAAAAAATGTTTATAGGACGTACTTCACAGTCACATGATTTAATTTACTTCATCGTCATAACAGAAAAGACACGACGATTCTTTTTAAGACACCGCTGATTTGAAATTTATGTCCGGTCCATCCATTTTTATAAGCATGAGGTCATTGAGGGTTAGCTCGACGGTCTCGGTTAAAGGTCTAATTTTTGTCCACATGTTGATGAAGCCAACGAAGGACTTGCGTCCGAGATGACACGCTCACTCACGGAAGTAGATTCTGGACTAACAGTAGTCGTAGGAAGGAAAAAGGAATCTATCCTTATTTTGGGTTTACTAGTATTAGTTGTCATTAATGTGCGTTTTATTTATTTGCTGCGTAAGTAAAGAAAACTTGTAGTGAAGCGAATGTAAACAACGCAGTGCCACACAAAAGGGGCGTAACTGTGTTTTATAGTCTCCATACTCGATCTTTCGGTCGTTTTAATGCGTAATATTGTAACATTGACTGATTTGCGACTTGTAAGATTGAGACTAGAGTAATTAATGTACTAAAAATAGACACTCCATCGAGTCGATCGAAAGAAGCGTTTAACGAGACGATTTCAAGTTTAATATTAGCAGATTTACGAAATAACACTCTCTAAAATTCATTCGCCAAATTTTTCGCCAGTATCATCACTTTATTCGCCAATAAAAATAATTGTCGCCATTGGCGAATTGGCGAATGTCTAGGGCGGTCACTGATACACACTACAGGCAGCACCGATTTACTCTTTCTTTTTGCTTCAGGAGCGTAATTTGTTTGGAGAGCTAGGTCCCAGATCGTCTACACTCCCGCTATTCCCTGGTTGGATTGTAGCCGGGGATTTTAATTTTTCTTTATTTATACGATTACGGGCAGACCCAATTCGGAATTTGTCTGTAAAAGGCCTGTAGCATGTTGGGTGAAATCCAGTATCTTTTGGCGCGTCGATAAATTCCTTGTTTGATTATAATATATCACCCGAAGTCGCCTGTTCAGCTATCCATTTCGCTCGCCCATCAAGTTTTAGCCATTCATGGGCACATTCACGGAATTTATCCCAGCGAGATTTTGTAAATAATTGTTCTCGTTCCTTTCTAAATCCTTGGTAATGAATAATACAGCGTAAATTTGATGAAATATCAGTCGATTCACGTTCTTTCATGGGCGCAGCCATTACACATGTGTGTTGTTGTTTACAACTTTCAAGGTCGGGTCAGCAGTTCACAATACGAGCTCCTGATTGGCCCATGGTGACCAATCACCAGTTATTTCCCTACGCTTTATAACAGCGCGAGTCAAATAAATCCCGTACGAATAAATTTATATCACCCTTAATGGATTTGAAATAAAGAATTATAAAATGTATTTATAAATATACTATGCTTTATTTGAACCTTATGCCTACTACTATTCTTACCTGACTCTATCCAATTTATTTTAATCATATCTTTCATTCTATTTAAGTTATTTTTTTTTTGCCACCATTCCCCCCCCCCCTCCACTGTTCCTTATCTCAGACGAAATAATCCCAGATTAGCTGTAAGACCAGATACTCTTTTTTTCTTTCTTTCTTTTCAGGTGCTGGATTCTTCCTTCAGAGAACGAACAAACAAAAGGAATGAACACAAAAAATGAAGATGAAACAGAACCACCAATTGCTTTGTTCTTATACTTCTACAATCATTCTCATGTTGTTCATTTTGCCATATTTTTGTTTATTCATTCATATGTCTTCTATATAATGATGCATAGTATAGTACACTATGTTAAAAAAATACTAGAAATGTATGTTTCTTTATCACCAAATGATTTATGTAAGTTGTGAAGTAAAACAGTTGAACATTAAATCCCATTTCAATTTATTTGCATGAGGTGAAGAGAAATAATGGTATTGAACAATTGACTATTCATGAAAGATACTAAAGAGAACTTTATTAATTTATACATACTTTTGCTAATTTTATTGTTATATCTTGGTAGTAACATACCAATATAAATAGTAATATTGTTTCTAGATGAAGACTATTATAATTGAAATGAAATGGGATTTCACATCATAATGCTATGCACGGACTGGGCTAATAATGACAAAAAACTACAATGAATACAATAGTATAAAATGTTGCTATGAAATTAAATAAATGTTGTATACAATAATTAACCGGTTTAATACTATATTATACATAAAAGTGAATGAAATTCAATGTTTACAATTTTGCTTTATACATGAATATCACAGGTCAAATTATTGAAATAAATAATGCAAATAGATTATGATTTGAAACATCTTGTATGTCATTGTTCTATTTGTTATATAAGACTACATGATATAAACTTTTTGATAAGCCT